TTGGAAAGATGGTCCTATTCTCTACAACTTTCATATTGATCACTTGGATAAAACCATACTCGATCATTGAGAAAATAATCCATAAAAATTCAAAATTATAATTGTTTGACACTTAGAAAAATCTCTAAGTGTTTTGGCAATTTGACAACTTTGAGACCTCAACTCCAACACTTTATATCTTCCGAATCTTATGAGATTTTGAGTAAATTCCTTCTAAAATGTTGAAGTATGTAGGATCATCTTTAAGTGCATCCTTTGGGAAAGAAAAATTATTGATTGGATTGGAAGTTATAAGCTTGAAATGTCATGCACTTGAACATAAGTTTGTGGACTTAGTTTTTTTTCAATTTCTTCATATTTTCCCTTTTTGCAAGTTATCTCAATTTTGTGATTTCACTTGATCAAATTCAACTATCAACCATATTTTCATGATATTTGTCTTGATAGGTCCATATTTGACCAAAAATCTTAGAAGTCTGACTTTAAGCAGTTGACTGTTCCAGATGAACTCAAATATAATAATTTCAATGAAATCTTATGATCATGATGCAATCTTCAATACATTAAGATATCTTGAGAATTATGAGATGATGATAATGAAGACCTCCTGAGTGATGTTCATTGGAGCTCAACCTTCTAAACCCTAATTCTTGATTTTAAACTGAGTGTGTAAAAACCCTAATTCTCTTTAAGCACTTGATGAATCCTTGATGAAACCCTGATGTGATGAGATTGTGATAAAGATGATGATCCCAAAGCACAAGCAATATGTGATTCAAACTCTCTTATGATCAATGACAAAGATACAGTTGAATGCCAACTTGTGTGAGATAGACATATGAATCAAATGATATGTATGATTTATTGAAGCTAGATGGCTTATATGATGATGCATATGATATGAGATCTTAGGTCAAAAATTAGGGTACAACAGTTACCTATGGTTATGATGGCAATTTAGTATGCTCTAGTTCCAATAGGGAATCGATCCTATGGTGGGGATCATAGAGTGAAGTAAACATGAGTGTTCATATTTTGATACCACATGTATGTCGAGTCAGTAGTTAAGTACATTTGCATTATGTTGCATTGGTGATTATGTTGGTGTTATGATGTGTTGCATTATGTTGCATTGGTGATTATTTTGGTGTTATGTTATGTGGATGAGAATACTTGATATGTTTGTGTGATTTGATTAGTGTGTGATGTTGTTAGTTAATCTACTTCTGTTTGTTTTTCACCGCTAATTATTGAAGTATATTCTCACCCCTTCTATTTGAATGTTTCCTTTTCATGGGCATCGTGCATATACTCAAGAGTAGTCTTCCTGAAGTAAGTGGAAGCGAATTCATGGAGTTGCTTCTTAGTTTATCGTTTTGTTTAGTAGCGTCATGCTCTAATTATGTAACATTGGGTTTGACATGTTTGTTTTAATTTCATGACATGTTCATGTTGAAGTCATAAGACTGATTTTGTTGTTGAGCATTCTTACGCTGTTAAGTTGATTGATTATAACTCTCTTATTTTGTTATGAAAGTTGAAGTTTGATACTAAATTTCATTACTTATATTACCTTCCATAATTGTTGATGATGGTTCCGCTGCGATGATACTTTACAATGGAAGTGAGCATACGGTAATAAGTTTAATGTGAATTGATGTAACACGTGTTACATAGCAGGATTTTATTTTGATATGTGTGACACCCTATGTGGTTGTAATTATAATTAAATCAAGCGATAATTAATTATGGGGTTTAGGGTGTTATATTGTTCATAAATAATACCATCAACTAAGTTCTTCCATGAATTACTTCAAACATGTTTGGGTCTATTCATGGATGGAGATTACAATACAGTAACAAATAACTTCCATAAAAAACACCAGAGCCCTAAACATGTGCCTCTTTTATTTTATCAATAAATTATCTATCATCTTGTAGAAATCCCATTGCAAAACATGCTTCTCTAAAAGTTTTATGTCGGAAACCATCAACATTTTTTATGTCTTTGTAACTTATAAATCCTTTCTTGACGGTCAACACCATCTTTAAATAATATAACTCACATGTGCTTCGAGGAACCCAAATAAGACGACCAATAATATACCCCTTTTTCCTTGGTTTACAACTCCTACTTGGTTTATGGTAAACAAATTTAGAGACCAACATTTCCATCATCATATGTTTTGTTTTCCTCAAACCATGTTGTAAACATTGATCCAGTTACACTTGGTTTGAGAAAAATATTTCCAATTTCCTCAAAGTATTTGTAGTAAACAAAATTTTCTCTTTCTATATGAAAATCCAATCTCTCTACGGCTGGATTCCTCCCGTGTATAGAATATGAAAATATCCTCCAACATGCTTCACTTGGGGAAATGTAATGGAAATCTAGATATTGCTTGATTTCGTTAATGTTTTTCTCACCACATGTAGTATCATCAAAAGGTTAAATGACAACATATATTCGATGAAAGCCTTTGTTTATGTACTTGAATATGTATTTGATAGAAGTATTTTGATTGCACCATTCCATGTTGATATGTGCTTCATACTTCAACAAAAAACTTGGGTTGTGAGGTACTACATGGCCGTCGTGAAGGATGGTTCCGTATATCTCTATTGTGTGTCTATTATCTCTTCTTCTATGCATGGGATAACCATCATGATCAACTATAGTTGAAGATTGGAATTTATTTGGGAAATACTTGGAACATTCCCATCTTTCATGCAAGGTGAACTTTGATTTGCCAAACCACAAGGGCCATGAACCATATGAGTTTTAACCAAATTGTATAACTTTGGATCTTTCAAAAGATCAGGAACTTCAGCACTAATGATATTGTCAATTTCTTCAAGTGTTGGATATTTGTTAGAAGGATGCAAAAAGATCAACATATGTGCATGTGGCAAATAAGGTGGTGAACCTGCATTTTTCTTACACCATGCATGTGTCAGAATAATAATTTTAGGACCTGGATTCTTGTTAGAGCTGACCTAGTTCATGAATTCCTTTCCACAATCCTCCCATAACACAACCTCAATAACATTTCCAGACTCATCAGATATAGTGATATTGGCGCATGTTTTCTTATTGCCACCGACAATTTGTATCTTCACAACATCTTGCAGAAGTCCAATCACGTCTATAGCAAAAGAAAACCAAATAAAGAACCTATTTAATGAGTTTCTTATTACATTAAGCCAAAACATGAATAAGCAATCAACTAAGACATAGACATAAACATGACTAAAGAATGATGCATAGATTTAATGAAAAAACATAAACTTAAAGTAGAAACAAACACATAAAGTATCAATAAAACTCAGAAACATGAATAAAAAAGAAGACAAATCCAAAAGTTCATGACGATGTTAACAATATAGATCAAGATGAATACATAAACATAAAATAGAAAGAAACACATAAAGTATCAGTAATGAAGTGTTGTTTAAAACTCGAAAATACACTTATGAACAAACTATAGCAGTAATGTAAATGAAAGTCGAGAAAAATTCAATAGGTATAAATGAACCAAGACAAGTGTCAATTTAGGAGAGGGTTTGATTCCTAGAAATTACGACGTGGTAGTTACCGATAGGTTATGGGAAAGAATAAATTTTAATATTATGTGATTACAAAAGTACCTTTTTTGAAGTGTAATTTTTTGAAACTTGAAGGCATTTATGGGAGAGTGTAAGAATCCAATTTTAACAAGGTGATAGTTGATTATTTAATCATATTTTAATCTTACTTAATTACACCTGATGACCATATAAATTACATTTAATCTTACTTAATTTGTATTTTAAGGTACAAGTGCATTAATATTTTCTTCAATTTTTATTTACTAAAGTATTGAAGGAAAAAATGTGAAAATAATATCTCTTGTTTTTGTCCGACTTATTACAGATGTAAACGGATTAGAAAAAACCAATTAAATCGATAATCTAAGCTAAATCAAATTAAAAAAATGATTGTTTCTGTTTCGGTTTCAAAACAGAATCAAATCGACGTGGTTCGATTCGGTTCTCGATTGTAGTTTTTAGAAACCATCAAATTGATGAACCGAATAAATGGTATAATTACGTTCTAAATCTTTTATTACATCTATCATTAAGTCCACATTTTGTATCAGTTCAACCATTCTCCATCATTATTTACATTTCATTCCTTTTAGAAAAACACAGATCTATTATCAAACTTAGAAACATAGAAAATAGAAATCATAAGTCACAAAAATTTATTTTTACCGTCCTCCACCATTATTACTCTCTCTCTTTCTATCGTTATTCTGATATGTTATAATCGTCTTTGTCGTATTCGAGTTCTTTTTGTTAGTTTTTATTTATTTATTTTTTTAGCTTTTTTCGTTTCTTCTTCTTCAAAAAATTCCTTTTAATTTCGTTACAAAATAATTTTGACACGTGTTTGAGATATGAAACATGTTAATTTATATGTATTGAAATATTTTATTATTATTATTGTATTTTATTTATTAAGCTTTCAAATTCACTCTTAATTTTTTTATGTCAAGTATTAAATAATTTATAATTTATTTAAAAACATAAAATATAAAATAAATGATATTAAATATATTATTTAAGAAAAGAGCATAAAATATATTGAAAACTACAATAATAAAAAATGTGTTGATGAATAAGAAAAAACATGTAATCAAACTAAACTGAATTAAATCGATTAATTTAAATTTGGTTTAATTTTTAAAAAATTAAAAAAATCAAACTAAATCAAGTATATAGAGATACCATTTGTTAATCTATGTTGTCAGTGCAGGCTGTGGCGGTCGTTTTATCCTTAACAACACAACTGCTTTCTCACGACGGTCGTGTTCCTCTCCATTTTTCAGTTCAATTCTTCAAACAAACATTTGCTCATATTTTCTCTCTCACCTTCTTCCATTAACTTCAACAATCTCAATTTCTTCTTTCTAATCCAACCAAATTTCACACTCACACTCGTCAAATTCAAACCAAAAATGTCTCTTTTCTCTCCTCCAACACATTCACCACTTCTTCTAAACACCAAAACCAATCTTTCTTCATCTTCTTCACCTTCTTATCTTCTTCCTCTTCTTACTTTCTCATCCAAACGCTCTCCTTCACTAACCCTCTCCTCTCCTTCAAGTAATTTCACAATTACTGTTTTTTCCCCTTCATTTAATTAAATTTAGAAGAAAAAAAAAATCATTTTTTAATCTGTTTTTGTGTTTTACATTGATGGGAATTTTGTGTTTCTTCTATTGTTCGCAGAATCAGGAAATGGGTTGGCGAGCGAAGAGAAAAAAATCTTACTTGAACAGTATGGTTATGATGTTGACGCTGATAAGTACTTTTCTCAATCATCTCCAAAGGTTATTTTCCCCATGATTGCAAATTTCTATATAACTTTGTTGAGCTCTGTTTGATTTGCATTTGTGCTTAACTTTTTAATTTGAACCCTGGTTTTAAATTGGGGTCGCGGATGCGGTTGCGGTTACGAGTGTTGAGAGTGTGGTTACGGGTGTTGAGATTGCGGCTGTTGCAGCGTGAATTTTGATTGAAAAGAGTTTGAAATACACCGTTAAAAAACAAAATGTTAAGATTTTTCCGAAGTATATCGAGTATTAGGGCTCTAAATTTTTGAGTTTTGACAAAAAGTACTTAAGAAACTTGAGCATAGTTGTCTGATACGGTTCCTAATGTGGAAGGACGCCTGATATCAAATTACATTACAATTGCGGTCCGATGCTGTTGTGGAGACTACAACATCAGCAATATTGCGGCCGCAATTGCGGTTGTGAACTGCAATTTAAAACCGTGATTTGAATATCTTTATGTTGTTGAGTTACAAATAAGTACCGACTAGATTGAGATTGAGATGAGTTTTTGAAAAAATTGAGATGCAATATCAAGATTTTATTTATACAAGAGTATGCTATTTTAAAAACACATAAATATTGTAAGAATATGCTAATTTTTTCTCCCTTCATAAATGTTTGTGAAAGCTGTGTCTAAATATTTTGTTTTATGAACTTTTCCGTGAATGCAACTGATTAGTCCAAGAGAAAAAAGGATCAACAAAAGGCAAGAGGAGGGAAGCAAGTGCAGGTGGATCCACCTGAGGAACCTAAGACTCCTCGTACAACACATAAATTGCTTCAGGTAATCTCATTTTTGGGAATTGGAATTGCTAATTGATGAGGAAAATAAGGATTGTGTGTGTGTGTGTGTTTATGGATATCAAGATTTATGCGAGGTTGCTTAATGAGTATTGGTGAAGGCCAATCGACCTGGAGGTTGCTTAAACTTTGTTAATGAGTATTGCTTAAACAAGATTTATGCGAGGTTGCTTAAACTTTGTTATAAGAATGTTGTGAAAAAGTGGTGCATTCCAAGTGAAGTGTGCCTTACTCTTTCGAGAAGTTCTTGTTAATTAATTTTTGTAGAAAACCTTAATCTCATTTCTTGGTCATTGACTTCCAAATATCATTTTTAACCAAGTGGTTGGGCTTAGAGGTTAATGAGTATTGGTGAAGGCCAATCGACCTGGAGTACGAGAGTTTTGATGCCTGGCTAAAACAATCCTTGGCCTGTTGGCCAAACTATTTTACACATTCCCGTCGAATTCTGAATTACTAGGTATATTAGTTGTTACGTTACTATTTTCTCTTTCGCTGGTCTCAAACCGGACTGCATCAAGGCTTTATAACTTTCAAGGGTTGACCATATTGATATATACAAATATTATCGGAAACGATGAATTGATGAATTTATGTCTTGACATTTATTTCGTATGACTACATAGGTTCTTGGAGGAACAGCACGAAGAAGGAAGCTACTCTCACCAAATAGCATGGATGTACGCCCCATGATGGAGGTCGTGAAAGGTGCAACCTTCAACATATTACAGGTAAAAGTCGCAAGTGTTATATCTTACATTAGCTTACAGCATAAGTGTTAGGAACCCAATTAAAGATAAGAGAAAATTATTATTAATGATAAAAAGAAACTATTACAGAGATGAATCCCTATAATCCCGGAGCAAAGTGCTCCTCAAAGGAGAGATATTCTCACTCTGCCCAACTCAAAAGGTTTCTATCTGAAAATACACATAATGAATTGTCCCTTGCTATTGGTGTCCTTATATAACTACCCTTCCCCCTTCTGACCAACTTGCCAACTCAGCACTTTCCCTCTCCATTTGGGCCTCTTTCTTTAAATGGGTCCTATTAATAAGTGCTTACTGTATAAATCTTTATGTAGTATAAGCTATTTCTATGTTAACAAATAAAATAAAGTCAAATAGTTTTAATATAAGTTATGAGCTGTTTTCATAAGTAATTTTTTTTTCATAATGTAAAGGCGGCTTGTGGTTCTCCTGCATCCTTGCGACCTGGACGCTGGTTAGACTTGTATAGCGGTACCGGTTCTGTTGGAATTGAAGCACTTAGCAGAGGATGTTCTGAGGTATTAATGTTTTCAATAATCAGTTTGCATTCACAATCCCATGATTATCATTTCTCATATTATCCGAGCTCTCTCTTGGTTATGTGATTTTAACAAAAGCAAATATTTTAGGTGCATTTTGTTGAGATGGACCCTTGGGTTGTATCGGATGTTTTACGTCCAAACTTAGAGGTGACCGGATTCCTTGACGATTCAGTCATTCACACCGTCCGCGTGGAGAAATTCTTCGAACGCGCAGAGCAATTTGTAGGCATGTACATCTTTTTCCTTTTCACTTCATTTTATGTATATCCACATTGCTTCTTTAGTCCATGACTCTTAATTCCAGCCAACTCTATTTGAATCTGATTCTCGATTTGAATCTCGATTCACGCCTTTGTAAATTTGAATTGCTCACACGCAGGAAACAAGGACACGTTTGATTACATTAGTGTCACCCCTCCATACGTACAAGTTGACTATGCGGTGCTAATGGGACTGATTTCGGAATCACCCTTTGTTGGAGAAGACACTTTTATGGTATGCAGTATTTTCTTATACTTTCTTATTCTTGGTCTAAATAGTCTCATGCTTACTAATTTTACATTGAACTCTCATGTTTTTATCTAGGTAGTTGAGTATCCTTCAAAAACCAACATACTTGAGTCTTGCGGACATCTTGTTAAGGTAATTCTAGTATAACAATACCATGTTTTTATTTTTGCTCAACCTATTATTTTGGGAATCGTTGCATCACTTTCACGTATAAACTAATTGGAACCATCAATTTTCTTGAAATTTCCAAAATTTTAAACATCGAACTGCTCAAATAACTGAATTGTAGACAATATTGGTTTTACGGTTCAACTGGTTGAATGTTCAATTTCGTTTTTAGAACATTGAAAAGCTCTTTAGACCTACTAGACTTAATCTGCGAGTGTGAGATGTGTAAGTGATTGTTTGGAACTGCAGATAACCGATAGGCGATTCGGGCGGACAGTGTTGGCAATTTATGGACCAACATGGGCTCAAAAGAAGAGGAAATCAAAGATTCAAAAAACACAATTGTAGTAAAGGTTGATATGATAAGCTTGATGTGATGTGGGAATATTTAAAACAGTTACTTCATCTACACATGCACGTATTGTACATTCAAGTTCATATTCAGATTTGATGCAATGACAAACAATTAAAAAACCTACATAGTAATAAATTAAATAGAATTTAATTGTAATACACTGACAGTGTGACAGTGTAAAGAAGTTTTACATTGTCAGAGTGTAAATCATTTATAAAATAATATTTGTGAATAGTTGTGATGCACTGATTGTGTTTAAAATTTTACACCGACAGTCATAGCGATTAATCTCAATTAAATATATAATCTTCTATGTTCTATTTATGGGAAAGTTTAGAGTGATGGTGCAAACAAGTCCCTCACGGTGAACCAAGATTAATTTTGTTGTATTGACATTGAGATCAGTTTTTAGAAATCTCGACTTCTCAACCATGGATGTTCCGTCACACCACCATGAGATCGGCATCTCACTGCGTTGCCGACAGTCTCGTTCAAGCAGATTGACCATCTCCGCCATTTTATGAGTCATACCCATTTTCTTCAGGAAAATTGCTCCCTTCGGCACCTAAAGAATCTGAAAACAAGATGGTAGCCTACCACTCCATTACACATTGCTCAATTAGCTTCTTAAAGTAGTCTGTACACAATCGAAATGAATTAAGAAGAACAAATTGGAAGAAACAATAGAGGGCATTAAGAAAGTGGTAGGTCAAATTGGGCAACCTAGAGAGAAAAAGTTTTATTTGGTGTGATGGAGGTATCGTAAGATCTTATAAAAATATTTAATTCAACCGCCAATAAATTATTTATTGAAATATTAAATTAGATTTTTGTTAAAATATTAAATTAGATTATATTTGATTAAATTTAATATTTAAATATAATCTAAGTTGTGTAGATCTAAACTCATTTAAGATTGTATATAAATAGTCTTAATTTGTATCATTATTTGTAACAATTCAATAATATAAATTTTTATTTCTTTTATTATTCTCTCTTTCTCTCTCCACTAAAAGTGTCTGACGCATTAACAAATTAATATCTAGAGCTTTCGGTTATTGTTCTTGATTGAGTTTTCAATAATTTCACGTCAAAGATCGTGTTTCTAAGGTAACTGAATCAACCGTTGCGAAGATGACTAGTGTTAAGGGCATTATGAATTCTCTTCCAATGTTTGACGACAAGAATTTGATTCGATGGAAAAAACAGATGCAATTCTTGTTTGGCTTCTATAAAACCCTAGAAGTGGTTATCGACGACGTTCATGCGTTGGCTGCAAACGCAACCGACGAACAGAAAAAAGTCCACAACAAAATCAAAAAGAAAGATTGCAAGACTGCTTATTGCATTCAGACAACGGTCGATGCTTCTAATTTCGACAAAATCTCTCATGCTGAAACAACGAAGGAGACATGAGATATTCTAGTGAAGCATTACGAAGGAGGTGAGAAAGTCAAGGATGTCAAGTTACAAACCTTGCGTCGACAATATGAGTTGTTGTCGATGAGAGAAGATGAAAAAGTTGTAGAATATGTATCGAAGGTTCAGAAACTCGTCCATCTCATGAAGAGTTGTGGTGAAATTATAACTAATAACATGATAGTTGAGAAGGTAATAAGAACGTTGACCTCTCACTTTGATCACGTTATCGTAGCTATTCAAGAATTCAAAAATCTTGAAACCACTAAAGTGGAAGATTTGGTTGGTTCGTTGGAGGTGCATGAGATGAGGATAGTCGAAACGAAATGAGTTCAGGACTCGATACAGGCGCTGCGAGCTCAGTCATGGAAAAAGGATGCTGGTTCCAAACAAATTCAAAGACAAGTTTGATAAGACTCAGGGCAAGAAGTCTTGGTCGAAATCTCACAAGCATCAGGTCAAAGATGGAATTTCTGAATTCTCGAAAGGAGGAGGAAACTATCGAAATGGCAAAAAAGATTTAAAAAAAGGTGTACAGTGCTATAATTGTGAAAAGTGAGGTCACATAGCCAAGAATTGTTGGTACAAAAAAGACAAGGGATCGACAGGCAAGGACGAAGGAGCTAACTTTGCACGCCAAGATTTAAATGATTCTGAAGGTGGTATGGTGGTTATGGCTGCAATTGCAGATAACCATGTCGAATCCAAGATCTAGTTTCTCGATCCAGGCTGCTCGAACCACATGACTGGTCAAAAGGAGTGGTTGACAGATTTTAACGAGTCGAAGACGAGCAAGGTAAAACTTGTTGATAATAGTTCGTTGCAAGCCGAAGGTACTGATAACATAGTCTTTCAAATGAGTAATGGAGGAATAGCTATGATTAAAGATGTACTCTATGTACCTGGAATAAAGTGCAACTAGCTAAGTGTTGGACAACTAATCGAAAAAGGTTTCTCATTTGTCATGAAAGATGGAGTTTTGAAATTGTTCGACACCAAGAACAATTTGGTCTTAGAATCTCCATTGTCGAAGAACGGGACATTTAAGACTATGATCAGTTCGACAAAAGTTCAATGTTTGAAAACTGTTGTCGATCACAAGGATAGTTGGTTGTGGCATTTGAGGTTTGGACATTTGAACTTTCGATCACTCAATCAACTGATTACTCAAGATATGGTTACTGGAATTCCAAGTCTTGAGATACCTGAAAAACTTTGTGAAGGTTGTTTAGTAGGAAAGCAATCTAGAAATTCTTTCGTGTCGACAATGCTAATGAGATCATCTTGCATACTCGAAGTGGCACATTCAGTTGTACGTTGTATATTCGAAGAATATACAATTGGTGGAAATATATATTTTGTTTCGTTTGTCAATGAGTTTAGTCAAAAGATGTGGATCTATGTGATCAAACGAAAGGACAAAGTATTCGAAATCTTTAAGAGATTCAAGATATTTGTCAAAAACCAGAGTGAGAAGAAGATTAAAGTTCTGCGAACAGATAGAGGTGGCAAATACACATCCAAGATGTTTGAAGATTTCTGTGCAGAACATGGTGTTGATCATTAGGTAACTGCTCCTTATATACCTCAAAATAATGGAATTGCTGAAAGAAGAAACAAAACCATATTGGATATAGCGAGATGCATGCTGAAGCAAAAGAATTTACCAAAGTCTTTTTAGGGAGAAGTTGTTTCGACTGTAGTTTATATTTTGAATAGGTGTCTGTTGTACTTCAAAATTTTCCCTCTCTTTTCTCAAGACCTTTCATAAAGGACCTCTAAGGCTCAAGGATTCTCAAGGAATTGATCAGACAAAATCACCTCCGAAACACTGTGACCACAAATTAGGGTTTTTGACTGAGAATGACTGATCACTGACTTTTGACCTAATACACAATCTATTGGTTTGAAATATGGTCTCAAGGATTCAAATGCAACATGTTGACCTAATTTCACGGCTCAAAACTGTCGTACCCCAAATTTGTCCTACCCCGATGATTTTATTTTCCAAAATTAAAATAATAAAGAAACAGTTAACTAAGGATGATACAACAATATCTGAGGGCCCATTCTTAATATTTAAGTCAATCGGGGGTGTATTTTAATTCAGGAAAAATGGGGCTTTCTAAATCAGAAAAACTCATAGACTTATTCGCGAAGCATGTTGGCCAATGGCCCATGCGATTCAAAAATAGGAAATTATTTCAGAAGAATAATAACCATTAAGTTCTTAAGTATTAAATAGTTGTTGAAATTAACTAAGTCCACTTAAATGTTTTGTTGTTAGAAAGGAGATAAAAATTCAGTATGCAAGCCCATTCTGTTTGGCCCATCTCCATTTTCTGTGGGTAGCAAAAAGAGGGGTATGGTTAGTAAAGGCCCATTAAGGTTCATGGTCATTTATATTATTACTGTTTTATTTAATTTTTTTAATAAAATATTGTTTTATTGATTTTTTTATTTATATATAAACTATTTAGGCCCAAATGGGGAGGTCTGATGTAGGAGAAGGGGGTGAAAATTTAAATTAGAGGTCCATTAACTTTTATTTTTATTTAAGAGAAAACTGTTTATTGCTAATATAAATAAATAAATAATAATATATATTAATAAAGAAAACCAATAAACAAAATACTTTTTGGTTAAAAACATAACATATTTTTTTGCTGATAAAATCTTTTTGTTAGATATTATCTAAGTTTTGTTGTTTCTAAAAAGGGTCAATTAGGCTTGGGTTTTTGCTGTAATAAAACAGTAAGTTGGACTTCAAATAATCAACGCACAACCCAAATGAAAAAACTGTCACTGTAGCGATTAAGTAAGGATTACGCCCATTTCAATTGGTCTAACTATTACAGTACAAATCAAATATTTATTTCCCAGAATTTGTTCACAGTTCAAAACCTAAAACAATATCAACTCAAACCCAAAATTAAATCAAATCTTTATGACAGTTAATAATTAAAATGATACAAAATCATTATTACAGATCCAGAATCAAATCTTTCTTTTTGCAGTTCAAGACAAAATATTACAGAACCAATCTAAAGATCTAAAACAAAATCAATCATTCTCATTACAATCCCAATTAATTACAAATCTATTGCAAAATCAATTACAGTAATGGATTGAATCCACAATCACCCTAATTTGTAACAATAGAAATCTTAAGAAAACCCTAAATCACAAGCCTATAAATATATGATAAAACCTACGGAAATAGGGGTCGAGAAACTGGAAGAACAGAGGGAATTATTGAAGAAGAATCGGGGGATGAGGCTTGATACAGAGGAAGAAGAAGCCGATACCGAGATGGGAAGAGGATTGAAGAAGCACAGAAGAACCGACTTGTGGAAGACAAAGAAGAAGAACGATTAAGGTTTCAATATCTAAAACCCTAATCGCTAGCTGTTAATTGCTAACCATCACCATCATCTCCGTCATCGCTATCACCATCAACGCCGTAACCTGCAAACCAAACAAAACGGAGAGAGATTAGCGAAAGTTTGGAGAAGAAATTCGAAACTCAGAATACGAAGACAAAGAGGGTAAACAAATTAGTTTTAGTTTTTTT